AAAGGAGAGAAAAGACAAGGGAAGCTCCCCCACACTCTTCTGACCACAGGGGCCCTTTTCTCGGTTCTTCTGGCCGGAGAGGAGGGTTTTCTCTTGTGCTTTAGGTACCCGTGTCCCTACCGCCGCCATCACGGCCATAGAGGCGCAGCCCAGCAGCTGAGGCTCCTCCGGGGGTGGGGCCAGAGAGAGAATAAAGAAAAAAAGAAAGAAATTGGGGATCCCCCAAACTCTCCAGCTCCAGGAGCCCCTCTTCTCAGTTCTCTGCCTAGAAAGAGGGCGTTTCTCCTGGGGCTTTTGCTGTGGGAGCTGAGCAACAGGCAGGGAGACCCGTCTGTCTTCAGGCTTTCTCCCACTGCCTACTCTTGCCAGATGCTCAGGACCTCCATTTGTGTATCGTCCAGAGTTCCTAGTTGTACTCTGTAACGGGCTTACTCGTTCTTGGCTGGCACTAGAAAAGCCTTTTCATTGTATTTTAACTTTTGCATAAGGATCCCCTGGGTCTGGGGCTGGAATTCTCGCTGTTTAGACAGGAAATAGGCCCAACAGAGGAAGTGGCGGCGTCCAGCAGGCACAGGCGGGCCTGGGGCCAGGACTGCTTGTCCTCCTCGGGGGATGGGGGGGGGCGTCTTCTGCACGTTTTCGGCCCCATGCTTCCTCCTCTCCCTGGGTCAGGAGTCGCGACTTTCCAGCATGCCCCACGGTCCCCACCTGAGCCTCCTGGAAGTCTGTGCCGATTAGTAAGATTCCACATGTGGGCAAGGAAAGCTCGGGCCACCTTTTTCTCTCCCTGATGCTTCCGCCCTGATGGGTCTTCAGCCCTCACCTTCAGAACTCGCGGTCAGGGGATCGCCGTTTATCTTGCAGGGGGCCTTCCATTTCTCTTCTCGTGTTTCCAGTGGAATTCACTTAAAATTAACCAACTCTGAAAGTGGAAAATGGAGAAAATCAAGAGTTCCACTCAGGTGAGGCCTTGAGAGGGCAGCAGGCCCGGCTCTGCCCTGGGCGCCCGGGGCCACCCTGCGCGACAGCCACAATGACACTGACAGTTGCGGCTCATGAGTATTGAGATTTACAGCTGGGTGCTGTGTGTTTCAGACTCATGAGCACATTTCACCCCCACAGCACCTTATCAGATGGTTTCCACTATTATCCTCATTTTATATATAAGGAAGCGGAGGCCCAGAGAGGGCCAGTCACTTGCCCATGTCACACAGCTGGAAAGTAGCAGCGCGGGGGTCCAGTCTCATGCCTGATTCTTCAGCTCAAAGTAATTAACCCCATCCTACCCTGCTTCACGTGTGAGACCCCGTTGCCTTGTTCTTATCTCTGTTAAAGTGCATGTAATGCCGTTTTAGGATGATGTGTTTGAGTCTATATTCCTCGTGAATGCTGAGCACTTCAAGGTCAGAGGTCACGGGTTACCCTTGGCGTCCTGAGTGTCTGTCTGCCTCCTGGTGCATCTATCCAGCCTTTATATTTGGACCACAGAGACCCTGCGAGAATTTAGTGATGACAGGACTTACTTTACAATGTTGGTAAGCTGGCCGGAGTGGTCCTGGAATTTTCCGATGAACTAGGTCACCCAGAGAGCCTGGGCCACAGATGGCATGCCCAGAAGAGACAAAATTGAGGGCGTGGTTGCTGTGCAAATTCTGAAATTGCAGCCATTTCTCAGGTTGGCTGCCTATTGTGTTGCCAGATTTAGAAAATAAAAATATAGGACGCCCAGATAAACTTGAATGTCAGGTAAATGTTTACTATAATTTTTTACTTCAGTTGTGTCCAACGCAATATTTGGGATATACTTACACGTAAAGAAAGGATTTTGTTGTTGTTTCTCTGCAATTCAGATTTAATGGGGTGTCCTGTTTGTCCTCCTGAGGATTTTATCTAAGGGTTTATCTGACAATTCTCCCCACGCTGGCATCCACTTTAGGGCCATCTATAACTGACTCTGAGTTTCTTGGTATCTGGCAAGGACCTCTGAGCAGTGAGCATGACCTTGGCGATCACGCATCTGAGCTGCTCCCCAGTAAGTGAGGCTCCGAGAGGGAGGCAGGACTCCAGTGGGGCCAGAACCCCAGTCTCCTGGCTCCGAGGAGATGGGGGAAAACAGTACAAATGTTTGTACTCCTGTACAAATTTAGCTTTAAAATCCACAGTCCAAGAGCATCAAATTCTATAGTTGTGGCCTCCAGGGCCCTGCGGATGGCCTTGTAAGGGAGGAGAGTCTGGTGGAGGCCAGAGCATGGCCAGCAGGCCCACTTCACAGAGCCTCCTAACAAAAGCCCATTCTCCCTTGTTTTCCCAACACTGAAGGGTGGTCATTATTCAGGGAAGTGCCCGAGCCATGTCTGGTCACCCTGCTTTGAAGATTTCCTTTTGAAAGCATTTACTGTTTCTTTCTCGGGAGAGGCCCAGCTTAGGGAAGATTTATGTAACCTCTGTCTCCTCAGTGGGAACAGATGGGGACCAGCAGGCCTCTCCTGTCCTCTGAGCAGCTCTGCTGTGGGGGGCAGGGTGGGGATGGCATGGCCCCCAGGGGGCGGTGCCCCAGTGTCCATGACGGCTGTGCCCTCCTGAGCCCCTCCACACAGCGCTCAGCCACCATGTGCTACATGGTGACCCCAACACTGAGGGACAGGACCCTGTGGGCTGGGGCACCATCCTGGCTTCAGAGAGCGGCTGGTCCCACAGTGGTGATTATAACCACCTCATGTGCCATGCACTCTAGTGTTCGAAGTGTTGTTCTTAAGGTTATAAAGTTTAAAATACCATATGCCCACTGACCAGAATAGATCGCTTTTAAGTATTTCATCATGTTCACTCATCTTTTCTTATAGTAAAATATTACAGACAAAATTGGTCTCCTTTGTCCCCCATGTCCCCCTGTCTCAGAGGCAGCTGCTATGGTGAACCTGGATGGTATATTCACAATCCATGGTTATACCTTTACTTACATATATGTGGATCCAGGCATAATATATAGTATTATTTTGTAGACATGTTTTTAATTTCAGGAATGGTATCTGAGTTTATTTTGTGGCTTGTCTTTTCTCCCTAGAAAACATTTTTCACGTAGTGTGGGAGCCTTCTGCAACTTCCTCCTATAAGAAAGCTTGTATTAATTTCCCCATTTTTAAATGAGAGACCTGAGCCCCAGAGAGATTAAGAAATAGCCCCAAATAGCACAGCGAGGATGTGTTAGCGCTAGGGCCAAATCTCATCATGCCCTGGGGTCCTAGCTTATAGTCCCAGAATTCATTCATTCACCTAATATTTTTTGAGTGTCTGCACTGTTCTAGGCCTTGGGGATAATGATGGAAATAGGGAAGTCCCTGCCTTCCTAGACATTATGGCCAGGAAGCCCATATACTTAACACTGACCTTGAACACTGGCCATGGGTCCACTATGTCCTGGTGCCCCCACTTCAACAAGCCAACAAGTGTTTTTCTGATCTTGACATGATCTGATGGGGAGACGAGGCCCCCCTCCACCCAACCCCGTACCCTATCCATGTTGCTCTGATTGTTACTGTTTAACTCAGCAAGGGGAATCTTCTGTTCTTGTTTTGCCTCCTTGGCCACACCCTTCTCTGCATGACAGCCCTTTCAGTGTTTGAAGTTAGGGATTGTGCCCCCAAACCTGCTCCCACCCAAGGATTCCATTCTCAGGGGCCAGTGAGACGATCCCTGCCCACTGGTGTGAGAAGGTCTAGTTACCACCCAGAGGACATCTTCAACAGTGGCTTAAAAGTAGCAGGGGCCGGCTGGAGGGCCATTCCAAGGCACCTTCCAGATGCTTCTCTCAACACCTGCTTCCGAGCTGACTTCAGCCTCCATTCCCTCATTCTGACCGTGCGTGAGTCAGTTCCTGATTGACTCTCCCCAATTTCCAAATGATGGAATTGAGGCTGACCTCTGTGTGTGTTTGTTTTCTATTCATGCGGCGGCCATGGGAGGCACTGGGAGTCTCTCTCCTGGGGACCCTGTGCCTGTGTACCAGAAGCCCTAAAATGTTCCTACCACAGACTAGGAAGTTCTATATCTTGGAGTCTGCCCCAGTAAATAAAAATGCATGAATGCACACCCAAATGTATGTACAAAATGTTTATCTGTGCATTATTTATCATAGGAAAAATTGAAATTACTTATTTATTTATTTTTTTAGTTGAGCCATCCTGCCACCTGTTGGCAGCTCAGCCGCAGCTCAGCTTGGGCGGGACTCTTGAGCGAGTTCTTAACCAATTGAGCCATTTGGCCGGCCCTGAAATTCTGAAATCTCCACTTCTAGGGGAAATGGTTAAATTGTGGCTTGTATTTATGATAGGATATTATACTACTATTAAAATGGTATATTGATGGACTTTTTATACAGGAATATAAAACCACATGCTTAAACGTGTTCTGTCTCTCTCGTGGATGCTCTCTCTCTCCCTCTCTCTCAAACACACACACACACACACACACACACACACACACACACACACACACAGAAAAAAAGATTCTAAAGGAAAAATATTAAAATGTTAACAGTGATCATCCCAAAGTGGTGGGATTATGATTCTCACTTTTTTCTTTATCCTCTTTTATATTTTCTTAATGTTCTATGCTGAGCATATGTTACTCTTAAAATTAGAAGAAAACTAAAGGCATTTTACAACCCATGCTGTCATGGAGGGGCCTGGCATTGAGAGATGGGACATTTGAAAGTCCCAAGGAGTTGCCAGCTAGTTGTCGGATGAGGTGCCAAGCTGTTGCGTGCCTTAATGCTTCCATCTGCAAAATGGGTGTGGGTGTCTGCCTCCAATGGTTGCTGTGAATACTGACTTTTGTAGATTAAAATATATACTGTCAATTATAAAAAAGCAAAAGCAGAGTCCTGTTAGATGGTGTATCTTCGCAGGCGGTGGCTTGGCCACAGAGATGTCCCTCTGGATGGCAGTTTTCCCAAGCCTCCAGGACCCTGGTTGGTTAATTCTCTCTCTCATCCTTCACAGCTGCCCATGATGGGAGGAGCCTTCATGGACTCGCCCAATGAGGACTTCAGCGCCGAGTACTCGCTCTTCAACTCCTCCACCAACGTCCACGCGGCCTCCAATGGCCAGGGCCAGCCGGAGGAGCCTCCGCGGTCCTCTAACGACGCTGTCTTGCTCTGGATTGCCATCATAGCGACGCTGGGGAACATTGTGGTGGTGGGTGTGGTGTACGCCTTCACCTTCTGAGCGACAGGAGCCGAGAGCTCCAGGTGGCCTCCCCTGCGCGGGGCTCACGGGGGATGAGGCTTGGTTTGTTTGCAGGGGGCGCCGTCGCTGTTGGCCTTTGGCTGCGCCCACGTTCCAGAGCCAGGACTTCGGACCAGCGCACGGCCTCTCCAGGGGCAGTGACCACGCGTCTGGAACTTCCCTAAGCAGCCCTGATTTCAACTATCCCATGCCGTGGTCAAGCTGATCCTGAAAACATGGAGGCGTGAGCTTCCAGCCCCTGGAGGCACGGCAGCGCAAGGCCTTGGAAGAGCAGACTGAGGAATTCTTGAAACTGCTTTCCAAGAATAAGAGAAAGACCCAAGGGAACGAGTTCGATTCAAGATACAGACATGGCTGGGCCATCGCTTGCTGGCAGTAAATAATCACTTATGTGTCTCGTCATGCAGACTTGTCTCGTGTGTGGGGTGCAGGGCCCGAGCACCCTCAGAACTTGATGTTCCCATCCCAATCTCATTCAGACCCTTGGAATATTGGTGTCGGCCACTTGAAGGGCTATAGGACGTTCCTCATTTGACCTGGAAATAGCACCTTTGTCACCAGACATCTGGCCCCTTACGAAACCCAAAACATCAGGAAAGCCAAGAATGGGAGGATTACTGGTGACATGGTGGGATTTCTGGGTGACATGGTGGGATTTCTGGGGTAGTGTTTGTGTGGGGTGGGGTTCTGCTAGATGGGCTTTCTCCTCTTTTTGAAAAGAGGAGAAGAGGAGCCTTTAAAAATTAGATCTGCCACACAGTTGACTCTTCAGGCCACTCACATGAAAGATTCTCTTTGTTGTCTGAGAAATCACAGAATTTTAGAGATCAATAAGGCTGGTGTCCACTTCATCATTTAACGGATGGGCAGGAGAGGACGCTGGCTTGCCTGTGCTTCCCGGGCATGTTAGTGAAGGGACCAGATCAGAAGGGACCCTTCCTGACCCAGCTCGGGGGTCTCTCTGAGCCCTCTTTCTAGCAGGTTCCTGCCTCCTCAGCTGCCTTCAGGGAGTACCCAGAGGACCCTGAGCTGTGCCAAGTGGGTGGGGCATTCAGGCGCCTGCATTTTAAACTCCGTCTGGCTACCGTGCACGCTCTTTCTTGCAGATGTGAATGAGCTCTGCCCGAGTCCGTTTCCCTACATTCTTGGGGGGCCTGGCAAACGAGAGAGCCCCCATGTAAAGACCAGAGTGGATGGGACGTGCTGGGGGAACAGCATGGGAAAGGGCCCACTTTTCTTTAGACCTTAGGAAAGGCCATTGTACAGGACCCCTTGTCCCGAGGCAGCCACCCAATGTGACAAGATGGGGAGTAGGGGGACTCACTCGCCTACAGGCAGCGGGTGACTCTGTTCTTGTCTTCTCCTTGTGCCATACAAAAGAAAATAAATAAATGGCACAAAGTCCCCCTCTGTGGTTGAGAAACTTGAAAGACTGGTTTAAAAAATCCCTTGTGGATGTTTGGGGACAATTACAAAAAGGCTGAATTTGTCACTGTGGTCTCAGGAGAAACGAGTGTTCTTGGGGAAAGGCAAAGGGACATCTTCATTGTCCAGGGGCTGCCAGTCGCCTCTGGAAGGCTGGCACTGAGCTGCTGTGATAACAGGATTACCAGCCCGACCTCCAGACAGCACCAGCAGATGGCCGCCAGCTCTTATAGGTCACATCTGTCACTGCAGCCATGTATCCATCCACAAATGCTTTGGCTTAAGTGGAGGTCAGGAGCTCAGAGAGCTGGCGAGACATCGAAGAGAGGGAGAAGGGATGTGGGGCCTCCTTCATGGATTCCTTCTGAAATTACTGACGGGCCCTGCTCTCTGCAAGCCCAGCCTGAAGCCTGGGCCAGCTAGTCAGCCGTCGTGTGCCCATCATCCTAACAGACTCCTCTGTCAAGCCCCCATGTCTGCCCCATGAGCAAGGTCTTTCTTAGCTGAAGGAGCGAGGTCAGGGCCAGGGTAAGGAGACAAGGTGATGCTCGCTGTCTTCACGGGGCGTCACTCAGCCCCAATACTCTGATTCTTCACCTTCTGACCTCACATCGCTGGGGGAGTCTGCAGCCTGGAAGGGGCAGATGGCATCTCCCCATCTGTAAATGGCCTGTGGAGATGGTAGTGGAAGAGAGGGCTCTGTGTTTGCTGTGATGGGGGAAGGAAAGGATGGCCTCTAGCTTTAGAGGACCTAGCTTCCCAGGGCAGCCCTGTGGGCCTGCTGCTCACTGGGCACTTCTGGGCACAGGGATCTCCCCCCATGAATGTTCGTGGGGTTTTTTACCCCTGACATACATGTCAGTTAAATTTGACTTTCAACTCTTTCTCTCTTTTCAGTGTTAGGGCCATAGATAGTCAGGAGCTTTAGGGACCACCTTGTCTAAACTTTACGTTATACAGATTGCAGTGACTTGTTCAGGATCATTCCATCTCAACCTCCTATGGTTTCATTATCCATCATTGCTCTAATACACAGATAAAGCTCAGAGAAGTGGAGTGACTTGCCTGAGGCTGCACAGCATGAAAGTGACAAGTTGGGATTTGAACCTGGACCATCTAGCTCTAAAGCCAGCCTCTTTCTGCAACACCATGCTGTCTTCAGTGACTGGGTGTTACCTCCAGGGCACATTTAAACAAGGCCCTGAATCTAGAGGCCATTTCCCAAAGTCCCACGTCATGGTGTGGCTGGGCCAGCACCGGCTCCCACAGTTAGAAGTCTTAGGATAGGGCATGGTTGTCCCCCTGCCCAGGTTTCAGGGTGGTGGTCCCTGTCACCTGCCCGCCTCTTTAAAGTTGAGCACAAGTCTGTTTTGTATGGCCAGAGAAGTTCCCAGAAACCAGCTTTCTGAGGACGCATGCAGAGGGGAGCCCCACAGAGGAGCCCCCAGGCGTGAGGCTTGTGCAGCCAGAATTGGTGAGGGGGGTCATGGGACAGCCTATGTTGTAGGTTGGGTCCCAGCTGCGGCTCAGGCTTTCGGCTGAACCCCAGGACTCCCCCCGAGCAGGAGGAATGGTGCTCCTCTGTTGGACCCCATCCTGGGGTGCCCATCTGGCTTCTCCTGGGTGAGGTGGCCCCAGAACCCACTTGGACCTAAGGAGCCAGTGGAGGGGCTGGCCTATTTAGTAGCTGCTCCTCAGAGAAGGGGTCCTACATGTGCTGGAATGTTCTTTGTGCTTGCCCATCCATTTCCCTTTTGCAAGCTGTCGGTGTCTCAACCTGTGTTTATGTGCATGAGGGACACCTCAGGAAACAGAGCAACCCCTGCTTTATGAGGTCGTGTGTCCTGTCACTGCAGCTTTGGCGGAGAGGCTGGAGTGTGTCCTAAGGGGACTCCACCTCCTATAGGGGCCTGGGCAAGATGACCGGTCTGCCAGTTTCTGCTGTGTCATTGCTGTCCCTCCCTTTTTCTATGAGATCAACGTCAAGAGGCAAGTGAGACAGCCCTGACCCTCTATACTCTCCTCCAGAGAGAGACAACCATATCCCCTTTCAGGAATCCCCTGGGATCCGAGGGAGAAAGGAAGAGAGGGCAGGTGAGTGGCACTTGGCTAGAGAGGCAACAGGCCATCTTCTAGCCCGTTCTAAATGGAAGGCTTGGACGCCTGCCAGGTCACTTGCATATGCTGGACTCTCTCCCTGGAGACGAGAGATTCGCCGTCTGTACTGTTGCCGGATTCCTTCAAGTGGTACTCTCTGTCAGGAGCGCGACCTCATTTATGACCTTCCTTCATTATTAGTAGTGCTTTTATGATTATTATTATTATTATTCCTGCTGTCATTTATTGTGCATCTTCCTTATGCTATGAACATTTGCATCTCATTTACTTCTCAAGTCACCCCTCGGGAGCAGGAGTGAGAGTGCAGAGAACTGCACATTTATATTGTCCACTTTTCTGTTGAGAAAACTGAGGCCAGGCTATGTGCCCGAGAACCCGCAGTGGAGGAGCTGTGATCGGGCTCCAGCTCTGTTGCCTGTACAGGCTGGGCAGTTACCCTACAGCTCCCTGCGTCCACACCCTCCATGGTGAGCCCCCTAGAACGGTCGATCCCAACATGGGCCTCCGAGGCTGGGGCTGGAGAGTGGATTTTGAGTTGTGAGTCCTGGAAAGGGCAGGGCAGCCATATTTATGTCTCAGAAGCTCACAGCCTTAAGGGGCTTCAGAGAGCATCCAATCAGGACCTTTAATTTTGGGGAGGGCAGCTGGGCTACACGGTAAATTAGTGGAGCACTAACAAGGCTCCGACTCCTGGCTTAGGGCACCATCTCCCAGAATGCTGGGCATTCGCTAGGGAGCTCTGGACGGCCCTGGGACAGGCATATGTTCTGTGCCACCTGTCACCCTGCCCCTTTGCCATGTCCTGCAAATGCTCTTTGCCTCCAGAGTAAGTCCTGGGTGGGCTGGACACCCAAGAAGCAGTGCGCGGGGCCAGAGGGAGCAGCTGGAGCCTGAATGCTCCGTGTCTGCCTGGTCCACCCCGCCCGCCTGCTCCGCTGGCTCCACAGAACCCTGACCTTGGTCATTCTGTGAGAGGGGCGGAGGAGAGGCTGGGCAAGTGAGCACTGAGAGCCCATAGGACAGAGTCTATAATCTCCAAGCAGAAAAAGAGGCCACTCCGAGAAACCCACGTAACCAAAATTAAACGGTGGCCAGATGTTTCAAGCGAGGTATTTCTGAGATCAGACCTTAAGCAGTTCCTTTTTTTTTTTTTTGGGTGGGGGGGTTTGTTAGGGGACAAAACAATGCAAACCCTAGTGACTGAAGAGTGGAAGGAGTCCCCCAGAGTGAGAAAACGCTAGCTAGGAACATAATGGAATGGTCAAAAGTACATAAAATGGACTACATCAATTTTGGAACGTAAGTCTGCCTTGTTTATTCTGAGTCATGGTAAAACTCATAAATTGTTTCATCAAGATGGATAATAAAAGCAGAGAAAGCCCTTGCAGAGGCTGGACAGGTGGCACAGTACCCAGGCTGTACAGTGCGGACGTGCGCCTGCGCAGACCTCTCCGTCTCCGTGGCGGACCCAGATCTTCATTCCGCACCGAGCCCACTCCACGTGGCTGAGCAGCCGCCGCTGGCACCACTGTCTGTCTCACCAGCTGTCTTTTCCCCAACATCATCATTGGAGAATCACTGCATTTTCAGTTCAGAGCATTGTCCCAGCAATCCCGATGGCTCTGACCTGGGCTCTTGTAAATTGGCAGGAAAGGGACTTCCAACCTTTTACACTTGAGGAAACTGAGTCTCCGAGGGGTTTGGGAGAGTTGCCAGGTCTTGAGCCCAAGACATCTGTCTACAAAGTTTTGGAACCAGTTGCTTCTCAACGGAAAATTTTGTCCCCCAGAGGACTTTGGCAAAGTCTGGAGTCAATTTTGGTTTTCACAACTTGCAGAGGAAGAGGGGTGGTTCTAGTGGCATTGAGTGGATAGAAGCCAGTGATACTGCCCAACAGCCCCCACGACAATTCTCTGGCCCCAAAACACCAATAGTGCAGAGGTTAGGAAACCCAGCACTAGGCCATACTGTCTCTGATCCCCAAACTATGCTATTTCCCCAAGGTCCCCGTTGCCCCATTTGTGAGTTATTGAATAAATCAAAGCTCTTCTGAGCAACAGCAGTCAGCGTGGTTGCTGCCTCGAGTTCAAATAGTTCCAGTCGCGGGCAGTGATCTGGGATCTAGCAAGACGTGTCCATGTCCACTGTCTTGGGCTTTCGGGGGGAGTCCCAGGCTGGATGGAGAAAACCCTACAGAGTGGGTGCAAGGGCAGGACAGAACCTGCCCCCTGTCCCCCCCCCACACACACACACCCAGTTACTGTGTGTCTCTGGGGCCTTGAGGGACCTGGCCTCCCGCCCATGCCTTTGAAGCACAGCTTGGCGGGAAGCTTACAAAGCATGGGGGGGGGGTGCTGCTTAACAACCTTTGGGCAAATGTACATCTCCTTGTTTCTGACCCTTTCCACATGTCCCGCCCTTTTTCTCCCACTTGACAGCTTACACACTCTTTCTACTAAGAGTTTTACAGAAAACTTATTCTTGTAACTAGCCGCCCTCCCGACCCCAGTTCTTCCGAGAGAATCGGAACAGGTTCACTGTTTTACTAACGTTTTCATAATCAACTTATGTCAATGTAAGTCGTTTCCTGAATAAAAAGGTATTTTAACTATTCCTATAGTCCTTTGCTACCCAAGCCCTCTGGTTTCACGATGAGATCAGTCACTAACTTGACTACTGCGAAAGAAAGGCTATTTCCCAATGTAGGGCTTCAGTGTGCTCTTTTGATTAAAAATACCTAACTTTAATTGATGTCAAAATGTGGCTGTGGAATCGTGTCCCTTTGACTGTTAGCGCTGTTGGTGTTGTCGTTTTTTATTATATTAATTAAAAGAAAATAATAACTCCTAAGTGCCTGAGTCCAAGCTGTGCTTTGTCCCCAGGAGACGGTCCACCTATCTTTGTGAGGCTCAGCTCAGTCACCTCCATTCTGTTCCTTCTGCCCCCCCCACCCCCAGGCAGGGCGACCCCTCCTCCCGTATGCCCCTCCCCAGACGCCTCATCAGCACTCCTGTAGCAAACCCCAGAAGCCCTGTTCACTTACCCACCACCCGTTTCCCCACCCTCTTGTCATCTGAGAGCAAAGTTTATCTCATTCAACTTTTTATCCCCTGCACCTAGCACGGTGCCTGGCTCATAGTAAACACCCAGCAGACATTCAGGGAGTGAATGAAGGATACCTGAAAGACCAGCCCCGCAAATTCCCATCCTACCTGGGACAGTGAGTGTGCAGTTTGTTTTTTCATTGGTTCACTGGTCACCACAAACATACAGCACTTCCTGGGTGTTCTGTGCAGCTCTAAGCTCTTTACGTGTACAGTGACTCTGTGTAAGTAGGTACTACGGTTATCCTGTTTTTACATATGAGGAAACTGAGGTTGGAAGGTTTCTCACCCAAGGCTGTGTGGCTGGCTGGTGAGTGGCAGGACCAGGAACGGAACACAGGATTGGCTCCCAGACCATATTCTAATGGCTGTAAAACGCCCCCTGAACATTTGTTCAACGCTGACTGCAGGGGCCCTGTGCCAGGAGCAGGGACACTGGGGCAGGTAAGCAGACCCTGCTCTGAACATGTCTTTGATGGGGAGAGAGGCACAAATAATATCACTGTCAGGTGCTATGTGCTGAAATGATAGGGACCAAGCATTGGGTTCTGCACTAGGGTCTCTTCTGAAGAATTCATACCAGGCCCCAAAGGAGGGCTGCTGTGCTGGCCAGGACCCCACTGAAGCAGGAACAATGGGTGCAAAAGGATCGGTTGGATCAGCGGCTTATGCGAGAGTGGACAGCTAGTGGAACATGGACCCAAAGCTCTGGGTCCCGACTTAGAGCCTGGCCACCCTGAAAGAGAGGAGGGGTCTGTCTCTGGGGCAGGTGCAGAAGGGGCCATGCCAGCCAACAGGAGTCATGGGTCAAGTGTCAAGGGTTTTATCACCAAGAAGCCTTGGGCTGCAGAGGTTCCCCTCGCTCCATCTGCAGCCTTGGACTGGCTGGGGGTGGGAAGCCAGACTGCAGCCTGGAGGCCAGGGCAGTAATGGGGATAAGGGTTTGTAAATACCCACATTCACATTTTATTTGCCTGCTGCCAATTAACCTTGATATTTTAATGGTTTGAAATGGGTTTCCTGGAGCAGAATGGCAGGATGCAATATTGGGCCTGTAAAGAAGTAATCATTCAAACAACCACAGCTCTTCGCTTTTGTCCAGAATCCGGCTGAGTGGGTGGGGCAGGTGTGTTCCCCTCTCCTGGACCAGCCTGCCTGTTCCACCAGCTGTGCTGCCCTTGAGGACAAGGGCTCCCTTAGGCTTACCCTGGTGTCACCTACAATGCCCAGCCCAGGCATGGCCCATGTTGCACTTCCACACAGCGGGCAAATAAATAAATGAGAGCAGCTGGCCTGAACCATGCAGCCGTCCTTGGTCCTAACAGAATGGCCACTTTCCCATGTCCCCAGAGTCGCCAGAGCCTAGAGAGGCTCAGGAAGAGGAGGGGGCGGGGAGGGACACGTTCCCAGGATGGTGATGAGCCCCGTAGTGATTCTGGGAGCCCGGCCTGTTTACAGAGCTCCAAAGCCTATCCTCCCGGGTAATTTTGGTAATTTTCCGTTTGGCTTCAGCAGGCCCCTCAGCCTCTAATTACTCAGGTTCCTGCAGCGCGCTCGCCTGACCAGGGCAGCAGAAATGGCCTGATGATTAATATTTACACAAGCCAGGCTGCTGGGGCCGGTTCTGCAAACCACACAAATCACGTTAACTACCACGGTAACCAGCACTTGTACGCTGCCCTCAGGGTTTGCAAAGCAGCTTCCAACCCAGCTTTGATGCTCTGGAAAGGCGCTCAGATGTGCGCCCCTCCCGGCCATAGGCCATCGTCTCCCCTGCCCCTACCACACCACCTGCCTGGGCTGGGCTCTGAGATGCTAGGGAACAAGGCAGGGCCCCTATTCTTTGTCTTAGGGAGGAGTGTGGGTGCGAATGATCAGCTGAAGACAATAGGGTGTAAGTGTGGACAATGGGGAGCCTGGGGGCCAGGGGACAAGGGGAACCAGAGAAGGGCCTCCCAAGCAGCTGGCACCCTAGGCCAGAGGCCAAGTCCCTCCAGCTTTCAGAAAAGAAAACTGAAGTTCATCTATTCGCTTATTCAGTAATTAATAATTGAGCACCTACTATGTGCCAGGCACTCTTCTAGATACTGGGGGTGCATGAGTAAACAAAACAAAGTATATGTACCACTCGAGGGTGAACACAGACAAGAAGCCAATGAAGAAATAGTTAAATAATGTGGTGTCTGTGACATAATAAGAAATATACAAGAGCGTATTACTAACAATACTGTATCATACACTTAAATTTTTCTAAGGGAGTAGCTCTTATATTAAGTGTTCTTACAACAACAAACAATAATAAAAGGGACGGAGGAAATGTTGGGAGGTACAGCCTCGATGACGGTGATGGTTTCACGATATATACTCACCCCCAAATTTATCGTGTTATATTCAATGAATATATACAGCTTTTTACATATCGTCCTACCTCAGCAAAGTGGCTTAAAACAAAAAGAAATATATATTTGGTCTTTGGATCTGGTTCCTGACAGTTCCATGCAGGATGAGCTGAGGCTGCCCTCTGTAGGACTTTTCCTGAAACTGCTATGCTTGCTTTTCTCTCTGCCCCCCACCCCCACCTTGCTCCCCCAACATCCCCCAATATCCCCAGAAGTACTTTCTTAATAAATTGCTTGCACATGAACCTTGTCTCAGGTGTGTTTCTGGAGAACACATCTAAAGCCATCGCCCTAACTGTCCTGAGAGCTAGATTCATTCATCTCCATTTTACAGATGTGGAAGGTGAAGCTCAGAGAGGTGAGGTGAGTTGCTCAATGTCACACAGCCAGTGAGTGACGAAGTGGCCTTCACGCCAGTTCTTCTGGACTCCACAACCAAAGCTGCCCCCTCCTTTATGGATTGATCAGATACCCAAGGTTGCCACCAGCAACCAGTCTGCAAAAACTAGACTTTAGCGTGCTCTCTCCTGTCGCACCATAAGCCCGATGCCTGCGATCCAGCCTGGCTGACCTCCAGCCTCATGTTCAAGGCCAGAGCCTTAGCGAGCTGCCCACAGCCATTGCTGGATACTGCCATCAGCAGCCACAGCCCTGAGCTGCTTCCCCCCTCACCTTAATCCTGCCCATCCTTTTTCCAGCTTTGTGAGTTAAGAGTGTGGTGCCCGGGGTGTAAGCTGTCACCTGTCCATCCCTAACAGCCCTGAAGAGGATGAATATGGAGCAGTTCCAGGATCCAAGCATGACGGTGACTGCTGCCCAGTCAAAATGATGCTCATTACAAATGTCAGTACCGGGACCTGTTCTTGCAGGTATGAACGAATGCATTTTGTTGCACTGTATGCTGCAACTAAAAAGCCAAGGAATCGACATCTATTAGGTGTGTGTATGCTGTTTCTGAAAACCACAGACTCAGAATGATAATTGTCAACATCATTTAAGGGTTATGAATTTTACACCACTCTTTGGTTAAGTTTATATAGGGAAGTCAAAGAGATTATAAATTCAAAGTTTATTAAACCATATATTTTATGATAAAGGGCCTTTACCTTAAGATGGCCAAAGCACTGATATATATTTGTTATAAAGAGAACTACAAGCGTTTTAATTTTCTGGTATTCAAATTACTTAATAAAGACTTGTTTCCATTAACTTAAAACAAAAGATGCTTGTTACAAAGCCACTTACAAAGGGCTCCTTATGTCCAGTCAAGTCATTCCTCATCTCCCAGCATGCTTAGGGCTACTTTGCTTTAAGTGGGGCAGGGAGTGGAGGGCAGAAGCAGCATCTGGTGAATATGAAAACGAAAATGCAGCATTGTTCAAATGCAGGAGTCATGCAGAGTTGGGGCTGCCTTCAAA